TAATTGAAAGTAATTGGTTAATAGGCCTGATGATTAATAAATTAGTGAGTTTACTAATTGCACAACTCTACTTAATAGCAATAATATTTATTTTAGTGAGTTGAAATGGTAGCTTTTTTTGTGGACTGCAGTTTTAATATCTGCAGTACTAATTGTAAAGAGTTCACTACCACTCATTACATGTATGGAACCTAGATTATTAATTCAATATACATACATACACAGTGTGTGCTAGATATGATTTTGATTCTTTGCAGTCCCATCCAATAGTTTTTTTTTCTTGCATCCAGTAGCTTTATGACAAATTATGGTGTCACTGATGCACTACTTAGTATTCTGACAAATTCTGTTATTCCCAAAGTAATCTAAATTGTATTATATATTGTAGACAGAAGAACATTTATGAAACACATTTTTGAATAGTATACTGTAATATACTAACGATTAATTTAACTATACACATATTTGCATAATATTTTAGCAGTTTGCATCTTCAAAAGTTAGAAAAATATTTATTTTACTCCATAAAGAATCTCTAGTATCACAAACTGTAGGATTTCTAGTCATCTGCTTTGTATCCAGGGCAACTGAAATAATACCTGGATGGCAGTAAAAATGCCAGTCAAGTCCTCTAGCTTGAAGACAATAAAGGAAACACTAAGTGCTAAATTTAACTCTGCTGCAGCTAAAACACACAAAAAACAACAACTATTTTTTATCTAAACTCTTCTTAAAAGAAAAAAAGTAAAGGTTAGTTATTTTCTACTAAAATAAAATAAACTGACAAAAAATAGAAGAAATGTCAAGAAAACAAGCTATGGAAGGCAAAAAGATGAGACACAAACAAGGTAATTATCCACAAATTGATGTTAATATCATTTTTCTGATGATCGTTCTTAGATGACAGTATTTTAAGGAAGTGGGATATTACTTTTAAACAAGATTACATTACTTATTGATGTATAGCTGGTTGTCATTAGATATAAAAAATATTTTTCTATCACTTGTTCAAGAAATGAAGGAAATGACTACTAAACATTTCTAGCTTAAAAACCTAATCTAAAATATTTATAAATACTTGACCATTTGATGCAAATAACAAACATTTGAAAGTATATAATTTACATGTATGTACTCATGAAAGAAGCGTAAAAATTAGCACTTGTAAGTATCGTAAAATGTGTTTATTTACTTCAGAATATGCAGCTACTATTCTGTAAACTCGAGTCGTATATTAGGATCATCTAATCAAATGTTACTTTTCACAATGTGTCCGTGATGTCTCGTTCAAGTTGGGAGAACTAAGAATTATAAGTAATTTCATAAATGTAACGTTTGTCCATATGAATATAAAAACTGACTTGGGAATTTCATAACTCGAATGTAGACAAAAAATGTTTCCTAATAACTAGCCTGTACCTGTACTTTTATTCTGTAACTTGTATTCGTTTCTTCTAGTTATCCTTTCACTACACTTGCAGATCTAATGCTAGTTTGTCCAAGACTAATGATTTTAACCAATTCAGTTGGTTCACCTTTAGTTCTTCAATACTCTATAGAAAACAAGCTCATATTTTCAAGTCTCTGAACTTTTTCAATTAAATCAACATATTTTCTAAAACAGGATGATAAAAACTGAAAACATTACTCGAAATAAGGCCTAACAAAAGTTTTGTAGAATGTGATGATATATAACCTTTCTCAACTTTCTGTAGATAGATCCCAGGATCCACTATGCTCTTTCCACCACTTCCAAAAATTAAGCTAAAAGCTTGAAGTTGTTATCAGTCATCACACCCAAATCTTCCTTATTCTCCAAAACATATTTCTCCCACACAATAATTTATTTCCACATTTCTGCAACATTACGTTTATAAATTTTGTTATTCATTTTTCCATGTATCTAGCCACTCAATAAGAAAGCCCAAGGCATCTCACATAAAGAAAGCATTTTCCAAATAATAAGGTTGATTGCTTATACAGTATCATCGACAGGCAACACAACAAAGGCTCCAAAATAAATAAATAAATCAGAATGGTACCTATTTATCACAACCTTCTGTTTTCTACCATCAATCAAATGTTTAATTTGCCTCTTTTGAGTTTTTTCCTCTGTTTACTTAAAACTGTAACTTACTAATTGAGCCATTGTGAAGAATATTATTGATAGTTGTCTGGGAGTCTACGTATGTAACATTATCCAGCAACAGAAGTCAAGCTAATTGGACTTACTTGCATAGTTGGAGCACTAAGAAATAGTTGGGGGATTAGTGGAATTTGATAATCAACTGTTCATTGGACTCATTAACTGCTTATATTTAACTTATTGATTATTTTCGCTAGAGATTTGGATGGTTGAAATAAGCAAAATTAGTAATAACTGGAAACACTAATTTTGGTTAGATGGTTATTTTTTATGTTATGACACTAATCAGTTAAGGTGAACAACCTAGAATGAATCAAAAATTATAATGAGAAATAATAATGGCAATATTTCAATAACTTTGATAGTTGGAATAATCAAAAACAAAAATAATGTTTTTCATTATTTTCCTGATATAAATCAATTTAATAAATAATTTCAACTAATCAGTTATTTTATGTGTGATAAGTAATCAATTTTATTGATTAATAAAGTTAATCACTCAGCTCTAATAAGATTGAAGGTTTTTCGTCATGCCAGACCCGAGTCTTTCCTACACCTCTTATGTTAAAAGTAGCGAACACTTTAGTCACCTTCCGGTTGTCACGAGTTTCTCTCGTGTGTCTGAATAATTCTGGAAAATTTCAGTTAAAGCCCTCAACAAACAATTACTTAGTCTCTTTAAAGTGAATCTCATTAGGCCCAGGAACTTTACTGTAAGTAAGAATTCTGAGTTTTTCACATTTTTTTTTATATATATAATAGGATTATCCAAAAAAAAAGCCTGTCCCATGTCATTTAAATCTGATGAACAGTCTAAGTGTCTCAATGTTCTCAGAAAAAGCATTAACGAAAAGATTGTTTAATTCTTGATCCATCTATCCCTCCTCAACAATAAATTATCATTTAAATATCTTCTTATTTTATCATTTTCTTTTCTATCTTTCTCAATCCAAATTAGCATTACATTATCATTCTTTTTAACCTTAACTGTGACTTTCTTAACTAGTTTTTATTTTGGTATCTTACAAAAGCTTTCACTTTACTGGTGATCATCATTATATTCTAGAAACTCTACAATTAATATTTCTTTTCAGCCTTTTAGGATTTGGTCTCCATTTTGAATCTAAAAACGTATAAGGAATGCAATCTTTCTTAACAAAACCCTAAGGATCATTCATATATTTTCCTTTTAAGCCAGTTTCTTAATCATTATTCTTAATCAAGCTTATTAGATTCTTAAAGCTAGCCTGGCCTTGATATAAACATTGAAAGTATTGTATTTGCCCAAACATAATTCACACTTTTTTTCCTTTAAATACCTCCCAAATATTGACTGCACATTATATTTGTGCACATTCAGTTTTGTCGGGTATTTCACTAGAACTTTCCATAGAAAATCATTAAAGGTTTCAAAAAATGTTGCGAATGGATGATGACATGTTATGAGAATCGGAAGAGGATAAAGCAAATGTTTGATGAATCTGATGGTAGAGACAATTCTAGTGATGATGAAGATTTATATGAAGATGAGTGATTAGCTTAGTGTATTATCACGTAAAAAATTTCAGTAAAAGATTTTCAAAAGTGTTTAATACATCGATAGTTGTTTACTGTATTTAGAAACTATTCAATACATTTGATACAACTTATGTATGAAAAAACGTCTACAGTTTAACCTTCAAAATTTGTAATCTATAACCATTATCACTTTAGGCTTAACTTGGTGGTCAGGGTGCTCAGTTTGCAATTCTGGTCACGGGATTGCAATTAGGCACCGAACATGCTTGCCTTTTCAGCTGTGAAGGCATTACAATTTGATGATCAGTCCCGCTATTCATTGGTAAAGGGTAGCAAAGGAGTTGACAGTGAGTGGTGTTGACTTCCCTCTAGTCTGTCACTTCAAAATTAGGAATGGCTAGCACAGATAGCTCTTGAGTTACTTTGAGTGAAATTTAACAAATAAACACTAGGCTTAGTGGTGAAGTTTACAAATTAAGGTTTATGTTAAGATCAATTTAAAACTTAAGTTTAAAGGATTATTATTTACGCTTTATATAAAAGTACAGAAAATAGAAGAAACTAAGTTTAACGACAAATATTTAAAACACAAAATCGAGTAACTGAAAAGCAGTACATTAATATACATCTATCATTTTAGGCTTAAGTCTAGAAACTAAGAACTAGTACTGTAGTTTTCAATTGTTATCACTTTTGGCGTAACACTGAAATTTTGAACTATTGTTAATTCACTAAGATTAAGTTATATATAATGAAGCTATGATATAAATAGTAAATTTTTTTTCCAAAAGCATAAAATATCGAAAATAGTATTTATAAGGGTTATAAAATATTTATTTACTACAAATATTTGAACAGATGAAGTTTAAGAAATGTCAAAAAGTACATCCATAATTAATCATTTTCTGTATTATTTTATAGCATTAGTAGTAAAGGAAATATTGTTTAATAATAAGAGTAATACATGGACTGAAATTCAAACGTACTTACTGATTATGTTCGTTTTCTTGGTCATCATATCCTTATTTCTTTTGCAAGCTTCTACAACAAGTTCTACTGTTCTCCCAGTCCACCCATTAGTTTCCTATAAGTATGATTAATGAAAGCAAAATTATCAGTTGCTACAATGTATTATTCTTTTCAGAAATAATTTTGAATACCATTTGATTCCATTATATGTTATTCTAATTTTGCACTGTTTCTTTGTTTGGTTTCCAGAAATTTAATTTCCACTTTCTCTTTCCTAGTGTTCTGTATTTCTACAACCAAACAAAATATTTTTAGTTCACAATGAAAATTATTTTTATGATCATAAAAATAATTATTCTTGTTGCAGGTTATCTTCACAAGAAACTTGCATCCTTTCGCTGAGCTTTCCAAGAGCACGTACCCAATGGACCAGAAGTATAAGATCATGTTTGCAGACAAGTCAGTTCAGTCAAGTTATGAAAAGTTGTTACAACACGTTTGTGGCGTGTGTCATGGAAAATCACCTTTCCGAACTTTCAATCTGCTAAAAGAACACATGAAACGATACCATGAACTCTTCTACTGTGAGCTGTGTGTGGAACATCTAAGGGTGTGTTTCAACTTTATGTGTTTGTGTGTGTTTTTAATATTTAGTAAAACATGTTGTTTATTGGAACTGCTAAAAATCAAATCTGGAATAGCAGCAGTCCTAAACATTATACACAGTACCTTATCATTGTGTAACATAAAAACTTAAAAAAAAAAGCATTTTTGCCATTTAATTCCACACGCACACTTAAGTATTACAAAATCTAAACTTTCACTCCACTAAATAAAATTAATCAGTAAGGTTTTAGCATAGAACTTTGGATCTTAAACATTTGAGTTCCAAGTCGTGCCCTTTAACAAAACATTGAAGTCAAATTGAACTTTTTTTCATAAATATATCCAATTAGAGCAAGGAATTTAACCGATTTAATTGATTACATTTGAACAGAGATTGCATCAATTAAGTGTCTTGTAAACTGATCAGTTAATAGGAGTTATAGAAGTAATGAAAGTTGCACCATTTTGATTTCTCATTATTGTTTTTGATTAATATGAGGTTGTTCAGTCGTGACTTGTTAAAATAGTTAACTGATTAAAATTAGCATGTTTGATTATTACTATTTTTGATTATTCTATCTGTTCAAGTATCAAAGTATTGTCATTATGTTTGTTTATTGTTAAGTAAAAAGCTGCATAAGTGTGGGTATCTCGTGATTTGAGGGTCTCTAGTTCAAATCCGTAAACTAAACTTGTTCACCTCCTTTTTTATTATTGCACTGTCATGCTGACTAGAGGGAAAGTAACTGACTTGCAGCACCCTCATGAACTCTCTGGTTGCTTAAGTGTTAAGTAATATTTAAACGTGTTCTTTTTATTTTTGTGTAACTGTATTCTCTAATGTTGTATAAGCAGGCAAAAATCTATGGGGGAGATAAGACCCCTGCCCTTATTTTTCAGAAATTAATAACTGTATTTAGTTTTGTATAAATAAGCACAGAAATTTATATACAAAAAAAACACAGCCAGATGTCTTTACACTACTATATTTTATGAAAGAGAAATTTTAGATGTCTGTTTTTTTTATTTAATTTGTTGTTTATTATAAAAGTTTGTTGTGGGTTTTCTGAAATCAACAAAACTGGAGTCTGCAGAAATCCAGTTAAGACCTCAGCCAATAACTGTTTATTTCTAACATGAATGCTAGCCATTCTTAGAGCACCTGGAAAAAGACACGACACAAATATTTACCAAGACAATGTTTAATTAAACTAAGCTTTAGAGATTTGTTTTCTCCATTCTTAGAGCACCTGGAAAAAGACACGACACAAATATTTACCAAGACAATGTTTAATTAAATCTAAGCTTTAGAGATTTGTTTTCATTTAATTAAACATTGCCTTGGTAAATATTTGTGTCGTGTCTTTTTCCAGGTGCTCTAAGAATGGTCTAAGTTTTAGAGATTTGTTTTCATTTAATTAAACATCGCCTTGGTAAATATTTGTGTCGTGTCTTTTTCCAGGTGCTCTAAGAATGGTCTAAGCTTTAGAGATTTGTTTTCATTAAAGTTATGGAGATCAAGAAGTGCATACCAGTAAATTAATGAATTAGCAATCACACAGCTCTATTTATCAAACTAAACTCTCACCCTTCACTTATTAAGCAAACTTGGAAACTGAACACTCCTAGAACAATGATTATCTGCTTAATAACAATTAGGACCAAATTTTTATAGTTTGTTCTTCTGTTATTTAAAAACCACTTTCAGTCCTTTAGTCCAGAACTTCTTACAAATGTATGCAGAAAATTAAATTACTTTATGGACCAAATATATTTAGATTTTATCAAAGTACTCAAAAACCAAAATTTCTCAAATATGATCTACACGGTATTATTTTGAAAGTATAAGTTTACCAGTTTTTTTTTGCTTCTGATATTAATTCAAATCTCTCTTGATCAGAACTTAGCTTAGTACATTTTGTTTTCACCAGTTGTCTTCTTGAGATGAGTGTTGAAGGATAACATTCTTTTTATTAAAATAGTGGAAGATGTACATTTATCACTAGGTGGAGTACCCTTCCCCTGGATGGAAGTTATGTAAATTCATAATTAATGAAAGGTTATCTTAGGACATTAAAAGTTGCTGTCCATTATATGTAATTGTAAATAATGTTCATAAAAACAGCAAAAACACAAAATGTGAAACTACAACTTTGCCTGTATCTCTGCATGGACCCAACAAACCTTCATGTCAAAATTGGGGCGAAGTAGTAGTAAAAAATGCCCATAAAAAACCACAAAATGCAAAACTGAAAATTTGTATATATCTCTCCATAGATTCAATAAACCTCCATTATAATGAGTTGTGCTACATAATAATTGTTTAGCATTTTTTATATTGCACTTTTTTTCCCTATATTTCAAATCCTGCATTGGTAGAAGAATTTTAATTGTATGTGACTATAAAATGCTGACCATTGACTGTAATGCATTGTTGACCATTGTTTTTAAAAACAATTCAACAGATATTCAGTTTTGAACGAAAATGTTACACCAGAAGGGAACTTGGCCGGCACAGAAGGACCGGAGACACTGATGATACTTCTCACAGAGGTCATCCTCTCTGTGAATTTTGTGAAGAACGCTTCCTCGACAGTGATGAACTGTTTCGACACTTGAGAAGAATGCATTACTTCTGTCATTTCTGCGATGCTGATGGACTTCATCAGTTTTATAGGTATTTTCTTTGTCTGAACCATCCTGTGAACAGAGAACGACAAAAAATACTTGCCAGATGTATTATGGTTGTTTGAGTGTTTAGAGATTTTTACATAATGCATTTCGAGTCTATGAATGAGGGTGACGAACAAAAAAATGCTTTTGTCAAACTGTCAAAAATTTCTCTGGGAACCCACTAATTAAGGATGTGTGTAGCAAACAAATAGTATTTCTTGTTTGAAGACCTATTTCAGGTACCCCCTCTAGAAATGAGTTTATTTAAATATTATGTTAGAAAACAATGACATTTATGTGTGCAGTTTTTGTGTTCAAATTCTATAAAATTATCTGTCTTCCTTTTTAGTGACAAGTTATTTTGTTTCCATGTAATATATGAGATTAGGGTAATACGAATCGTATGAAGACTTTTTAAAATTAAAAATCCCTTTTTATTTCACTCACCTTTTTAACTTTCTGTTCTATGTAGCATTATTAATTATAATTGAAAGTTGGATGCACTAGCTTAATAAATTGGTATTAAATCATTAAGAAATTTTAATATATTTTTTCTTTCTTCTGATATCCAAGTGATTATGAAGAATTAAGAAGACATTTTCGTAATGAACATTATTTGTGCGAAGAAGATTCGTGCCGAGATGAGAAGTTTACATCGGTATTCAGGAACGAGATAGACTTGAAAGCTCACAAGGCTCAGAACCACAGCAAAAACATGACAAAGATGCAAGCTAAACAGTCCAGAACTCTAGAACTGGAATTTACTATCACTCCTCGAAATTCAAAGCCAAATGGTGATTCTGCATGTTTTACAGACTCTTCTCTTCAGTGTTTTTCTTGTATTAGTCCTCTGAGATAAACTTAACATGTGCCTTTATTACATGGTTGATTTGATTGTACTGATTTAGAGTGTGGTTTATTTTCCAAGTGTGAATGTAACTGTATCTCATGGTTTATCAGCTTGTATTGATTGTTGATGTATAGTGTAGCTTTATTTTCCAAGTGTGAATGTAACTGTATCTCATGGTTTATCAGCTTGTATTGATTGTTGATGTATAGTGTAGCTTTATTTTTCAAGTGTGAATGTAACTGTATCTAATGGTTTATCAGCTTGTATTGATTGTTGATGTATAGTGT